TACTCCTTCATACTGTTCAGCACCATGGACAGCGGCAACCTAACACACACACACACACACACACATGTTGTGTTTCCATGTTTTATGGGGACATTCCATAGACGCAATGATTTTTATACTTTATATTTATATTTTAATATTTTCTATCCCTTCCCTTTATTTTCTATCCCTAACCCTACCCCTAAATCTACCCCTTACACAAAACTTTCTGCTATTTTAGATTTTCAAAAAAGATTCTTCTGAATGATTTATAAGCCTGTTTCCTCATGGGGACCAAAAAACGTTCCCACAAGGTTAAAATGTACTGGTATAACCTTGTGGGGACATTTGGTCCCCATAACGTTATAAATACCAGGTACACACACACACACACACACACACACACACACACACTCATAGGTTACAATAATTGTCCAAACACTTCCATATTTCTCAGCTGCTATTAATGTTGCTCTGTGACGGCAGGGAAAATCTTACTTCCCTTAAGAACAAATGCTGTAATTACAGCTTGCTGGTCCTGTCACACATTTTCTGTTTTCTTTAACGTGGCTTTACACCACACACCAACTAACAGAACAAACTTAAGAGTTATATATAATGACGGACAGAGACCCACAGTTAGGTATGCGTGTTGACTGCTACGTGCTGACTCTGACAAAACTTTCGATTTTATTTGTCTTAGTGACTTAAACAGATTCCAGGTTCCAGACCTGTATGACTTACTTTCTTGCATAGAATATCAGTTAAGAGATGTAAACTCTCGGGAAAAAGGTACCAGAGCTGTGACTGGGACTGTACCCTTTCAACAGGCACTAATTTGAGCCATCCAGGTACCAATATGCACTTTTAAGCTACTAATATGCACTCTTTAGGAGTAAATAAGGTACAAAGGTGTACCTTTTGAAGGGTACTTCCCAAGTGACAGCTTTTGTACCTTTTTTCTGAGAGTATATTAAAGATGTAAGGCATCCTGTTCAAAGTGTTTTTTTGAATACAGTGAATGCATGACAAGTCCTCCAAAAAGGACTTGATAGCCAAAAAATAAATGTTCCATACAACTCATGCACTTTATTCTGAGTCGTCTGAAGCAACATGATAGGTTTGTTTGAGGAACAAACCAAAATTGTCAGTCATTATTCACTGAAAATCCACTGTAGCCCACAGATATCATCTCTGCATGCACATTTTCAAAATTTGAATGTCAAGATAACTTAAATTCCAGTCTGTTCCTCACAAAAAGCTACTGCACGTCTTCTGAAGACTTCCTAATTTTACTGTGCTTTCTTGTGGCTTGTCAGTCACTGTTGAGTAAATGAAGACAGAAAAGTCATTTTTGGTTAGGCTATTCCTATAACAAACAAATAAAATAAGAAATCCCTAACAAATATTTTGAAGCTACCTGAAGCTAATTTATGTAGATTACTCTTGTTGGCTTGGTTTCATTCAGCTTTTTGCTGTGTAGAGAATAAACTACATAAGGAACAAAAGCAAAATCCACAAGCAAATATCTATGTGTATCCATGAGCACCGCCAGCTTTCCCAGCTGTCTTTTAGCCAAACCACAGTCACACGTCTCACACACACTAGAGCAGAGCTGCCGTCCCTGCTGAGCTGTTCGCTGTCAGAGCCAAGGTCCATCTATCTGTCCCCCTCTCAACCATATAACTCTAAAAAATGAAGATGAGGTCGGAAAGCATCACGTTTTACGTATTGTGGACCATATTTGAAAGCTCAGCATATGGGTGTTAATGTTTCTGTCAGCTTTTGAAGTTTGTAGGAGACCCACTAAATCCAATATACTATGTTCACTTTTTCCCACAGAAATGTTGGAATCCAACAACCTGCTCACTTTCAACGGATTGGCCAACAGCTCTGCCTATCACTCCTTTTTATTGGACGAGGAGAGAGGTCGGCTCTTTGTGGGGGCCAAAGACCATGTGCTGTCCTTCAACTTGGTGGACATCAATCTGGACATGCAACTGGTAAGAAGAGGGTGTTAGAACAGCTATTAAAACAATCAGGATTACATTAACCAATTTGGATGGTCAGCATTGCACATGGGCAGTGTTGCCAGATTGGGCAGTTTTGAATTTGATTGTACGGGTAAAAATTGGCTTGGGCGGGTGGACAAAATTTGGGCTGGTTTGGGGTCAGTTTGGCGGTTTTCAAACACATAAATTGTATAGGCTAATTGGTTAACAAACAGTCCCAAGTGTGCATGTACTGCATCCAATAAGTCATCACGACGTTACTAAACACACACGCACACTGCAAAGATGACTGGTGCTGATGTTGATGTCGCGGCCAATCACATTTAGCCAATCACTAGGGATCAGCAGACCGACGTGATGATTCATGAGTGATGGGTTTTTAGTGCGATGACTGATCTGATTTTGAATGTATAACTGTATAAGTGATCATAATTCCTAAATGTGACCCTGGACCACAAAACCAGTCTTAAGTGTCAATTTTTCGAAATTGATATTTATACATCATCTGAAAGCTGAATAAATGAGCTTTCCATTGATGTATGGTTACGTTAAGTATGGTTAAGTTGTTAGGATAAGACAATATTTGGCCGAGATACAACTATTTGAAAATCTGAGGGAGGCAAATATTGAGAAAATCACCTTTAAAGTTGTCCAAATGAAGTTCTTAGCAATGCATATTACTAATCAAA